TGCTTTTGTATGTATTGCTGTGACCATATTTGTTGGCCAATACTATTTTTTATTAATTTGTTTACTCTTCAGACTCCCTCAGAGCGGGAGGAGTGGATCGTGGCCATCGCCCCCACCCGCTGTGACTGGATAGCAAGAAAGGGGCGCTGAGAAAACGCGAGCACCTTCAAACTCCCGCACCACCATGGCAACAGCCGTAAACTGGCAGAGGGCATGTTGGCTGACACCTACACCTGTTGCGTACGTATGCCACACAGCACACACAGATAGCTCACCCACTAGCGATGATACACACCACAGCAGGGCATGTTGTTGGTAACCTCACGTGGTACGCACGCCGACACAGACGCACAGATACTCACCATAGATATCTACACACCATCAGAGGATGGTTGTTGCGTACACTTACACTGGTTGCGTCACCGCACGCCCACAGCAGACACACAGATAGCTCAGCCCATAGAGTATACACACCACGAGAGGGGCATGTTGTTCGGTACACCTACACGCTGCGTACGCACACGCACACAGACACACATGATACGTCACCCATCAGATATACACGACCACAGAGGGCCGATGTTGTGGCTACACCTACACGTTGCGTACGCACTGCACACAGAACACACAGATACTCACCCATAGATATACACACCACAGGAGCGGCATGTTGTGCGTACACCTACACGTGCGTACGCCACAGCACACAGAACACACAGCATACTCACCCATAGAATATATACACACCACAGAGGGCATGTTGTTGGTACACCTACACGTGCGTACGCACGCACACAGACACACAGATACTCACCCATAGATATACACACCACAGCGTGCATGTTGGTACACTTACACGCAGACACACAGACACACAGACAATCACACACATGTATGTGTGGAAATGTGATGTGTAATACTGTACAATAGGATTGTGCCGCAGGGCATGAGTCATGCTGGTTATCGATCCAAACCGTACCAAACCAACCAAACCAACCAAACCAACCAAACCAACCAAACCAACCAAACCAAACCAAACCAAACCAACCAAACCAACCAAACCAACCAAACCAAACCAACCAAACCAACCAAACCAACCAAACCAAACCAACCAAACTA